GATTGAGGATGTATTAAATATATATGAAATTTTGAACTAATTCTAATCGGTGCATCTTGAGATATACGATGTCAAACTTAGTATTCGGAAACTATTGGCTACCCTTTGTATGCTGAACATGCCCCTTTTCTGTGTGTGAAGACATACCTATTTTCATCTGAGAAGAGATCATTAGTGAGATTTAATTCATCATGCAGACGATAGCGAGAAGTTGCAATTAGACGATTGTACTGTAGATCAATTAACAAATGAAATTTTAGAATAGAAAGAAAAGAGCTTTATAAACAAAATACAAAGTATTACGGTCTCAGCAGGCTCACTGTAATACGCCTTAAGAAAAGAGAAAGTTCATAATTCTATCCTATTTAGGGGCCTTTGCAATAGAAAGGGGGAAACTGCCGGGAAAAATTAATTTTACTTTTATATGCAAAATTCGATTTTTAGGCTGAAATATGTTCAAATTTAGCATTAACTAATTTTTGATTTTTCCGGCAGTTTCCCCCCTTCTATTGCAAAGGCCCCAAATATATTTTATATATGATAATGAAAAATAAAAAATAATAAAACACAAAAAAAGCTTTATAATTTTGCGAAACACAGCAATTGTAATACTATATTCTATGGAGATAGTTTTTTTATTTTTTGTATTTCTATGGAAAAAATTTGAAATTAATAATTTTTTAAGAATCAAAAATTCTTAGCCTCATATTCTAAAATATTTCGAAGTCAATGATTATAATTTACTAATTTAAACATCTTTATATTATTTACCGTAATTTGAATTCTGACGTCGTTCGAAAATTTTATACGACTTTGAACAGGCCTCAATAGGTGGAGTATCTTTCATATCTTTAGATTCAGATCATCGGTAATGCTAACGTCAATAAATTTCACATTTATACGATACATATTTTTTATTTTTTACTTTACACGAAATTGGAGCTATTATAAATAGGCAAATACAATAAAAATTATGATTGTCAAAAAGTTAATTGATATTTCAACATTAAATTAGGGTTTCGTCCTAAATACCGAAGCTTATAATCCCAGATTATATAATCCCGAATTACAAATCCTGAAATAGAAATCCCGAACCCATATAGTATAGGATTGTTTGTTAGGTTATTCATCAATCAACATCAACTACTATTTAAAGTTTTAGAGTGTGGTGTTGGGGTTGAAATTAGAAACAAATATTTTGCGAAATTGAATTGAATTGTACTAGTCGGGATTTTTATTTCGGGAATTTATCATTGGGATTCTATAATTTCGAGATTATTAGCTTCGGGATTTCGTACCAGGCCCTTAAATTACATACCGGTATTATAACGTTAGGAGCTCAGTGCTGCTGTCAGAATTTAGTTTTAACTATATTCATAGAATTACACTAGTCCCGAAATTTCAAATATATAGATAATCTTATGGGTATTAAAGCTATTAGATATAAACATTTAAGGCACATCAAAATGTATAGATACGAACCTTTTATTTCAAATTTTGAGCAAGGTTTCAAATCTTAATACAATACATACAGTAGATAAAATTTTTTTATGATTTTAATTAACTTTTTTTATTTACAGCAAGCTGCAGCAATTACTTAGCTTCATATTCGGTATTAAGCACAGTATTTATTTTATTCTATTATAGCAATTTGGTTAGCTTTTCATTTTATTACTTTTATTTAGTTTAATCACTTGCACCGTAGGTAGCAATCAAATATATTTTGGCTATTTTATTTTACTATGGCTTTTTGAATCACTTCAGGAAATAGTATAATACTTTTTGATTTTGATAATTAATTGTCTGTCCAAATAATAATAAAAAAAGTAATTCATAATGCAATACTGCGACATTGGATCTTAGAGTTACGTCTCTAGAAATAATGATCATAAACCGTGTGACGTTTTCATAACTCGAGAATTGGATTGCACAGTTAAATATTTGCTTATAATTTTAGAACATTCTAAAAAATACGTAATTTATAAACAAATCTGAGTATAAATTGTTTTAAAAAATATAACAATCAGGTGCATCTAAAAATAGTCTAAATATTGTGAAATTTCTAAAAGCAACCAATATATATTTTAAAATTAGTATTGCGAGAATTTTTATTTCAACAATATTAATAAACGGTAAATGATTATCTTTAATCTCAATGTAAGGAATCAATATAATATGTTAACGTTATAATAGTTTAGAAAACCAAAATTATGATGATGTAATTAACCTATTTAAGTAAAAATCTTTATAAACTTTTTTCTCATGAGCAAATATTAAATATACAAATAATACCGAAAAATATCAAACCTTCAATTATTGACGTAAATCATTATATAAAAATCGGTATTAGCATATATTTAAATACTGTACATCAATATTTTGTTAAATTACCTTTTAATTGTAATGAGCTAGAAATTTCTAATTCATGTAATTGAGAATCTTGAAATATTATAATGCATTAAAGTTAGTATTTAAATTTTTATCATCGAAAATAAAATTTAGATAATACCTTCATTATTTTCATCCTTTTCAAGATATGAAGTAATAAGAGATGAATTAATAGGTTTTGTCAGATTTTTAAATGCAAATGCTCTACTTGTATATACAGCATCAGGATTTATTTTACGTGAAATTATAATATTTGGTATATCTTTATCGGCTTCCTCAAATGCTTCTTTTATTTCTTTTCCAAAATATCCATATTCTTTAGTTTCTTTATATACCTCATAATATTTAATAGAATAATACCAAAAACATATTATTTCCTTTAATTCTTCACTCGTTGGTCTTTGATTTGGATTTGCATTCATACATCTATAAGATAATTCCTTATAAAATTCAGGGGTTCCTTTTCCAAATTCTGGACGAAGTCCATTACAAATATCTAAGGCTAAAGACA